GCGTGTGCATCGTGTTCATGTGCAGGCCTGATGTCAATGCTGAGTGTCTTCCTCAGTCACTCTCCACCTTACTTTTGAGGTAAGATCTCTCAATGAACCCAGAGCTCACTGACTGAACTCCACTGGCCAGTGAGTCCCCAGGGTCCATCTGTCTCTGGGTCCTCAGAGCTGAGGTCACAGACGTATGTCACCAGGCCTCACTCTGAGGTGGGCGCTGGGGATCCAAACTCAGGACCTCGTGTTTGCACAACAAGCCCTTTGCACACTGAGCCCTCTCCCCTGCCCCACACTTGCCTCTTGAGCTGGCCAAGCAGGATGAGGTTCGGGGCTGTGCCCGTGAGTGTGGCAGTGCCCCCGATGCTGGCCGAGTAGGGAATGGAAATGAGAAAACCCTTCCAGATGTTTCTGCGGTATTCCTCCTCCTTGGAGTCATCAGGCAGCTCCAGCTGGGCCTCTGCATCCTCAGGATGACCTCTGTGGGAAAGGGTTCAGAGAGAGGCAATTCAGAGTGGTCAGAGTCTCTGGGCCCAGGAGGAGCCAGCCATCTGAAGCTCTATGTGCGGCTTCAGGATTCTTTCTAGAGTCAAACCTGGCATGGGCCCTGAAAACCTTCCGCTCAGATACTCTACTCAAAGAATTCACCTCAAGGAAACACTGAGATAAGCAGGTCAGTGGGTAGCAGGGTGAACCACAGCATTAAATACTATTTCACTAAAAAGCAACCCAAATGTCCATCCAAGGGAAGTCAGCTACGTACAAGTCTCTTTCTGGATGGGTCAACTATGCAGCTGTCAAAACATGTCATTTGGATGCTAGTGACATGGCTCAGCAGGTAAAGGCCCCTGGAACTAACATGGTGGCAGGAGAGAACTGACTCCCGAAAGTTGCTCTCTGACCTCCACACGTGTGCGTGGCATGCATACTCGTACACGTATACACACAAACTCAAGCAAAATTAAAGTGTAAGAATGTGATAAAAAATAAAATTAAATGAGTGACTTGAGAGGTATCTGTTAAGCATCTGTATCAAAAATCACATGAGAAATATCTGATATCATTGCCTGGACTTCATTGTAAAAATATTCCTTAAATACCATGTCTCAGGGATGTACAAATACTCTAGCCTCCAATGGTATTATAATCTTGCTTCACTTCGTTACCCGGAAACGGAACTACCGTGTTCCCCCGCTTATATTCCTTCTTTGAAATTTGTTTTGTATTATTTTCCTTATACAATTTGACAAAAATGAAGCAAAGAATTACTAGTTGCTTCTTTGAGAGATTGTGAGGAAGCTAGAGGTGGCATAGCCTGCAATTCTGGTGCTCTGGAGGCTGAGGCTGAGGCTGGAGCTGGGGCTGGGGCTGGGGCTGGGGCTGAGGCTGAGGCTGGAGGACCCTGAGTTTGAGGTCTGCTTGGAATCTGTAGTGAGAACTGCCTGTCTCAAAATCAGAGGCCATGACTCTGCTGGACTGGTTCACTGGTTTGCCTTGGGGTTCTTTGTCTCCATTCCCCAGTTCCGGGGTTATGGGTCCACACTACCATTGCCTGGCTTTTCTTTACTTGGATTTGGGGAATTTGAATTCAAGTCCTCAGGCTTGTACAAGGACTACTTTGAGGACTGAGCTACCTCCCATCCCTCAAGCATCCTACTTCCTGTCTAGGGCTGCTATACAGTGTTTGTATATGGCTGGAATTAGGAATTGCATGCCCGGGGTCTGAAGTGTGTGGGGGTACGTTGACGGCTGTGACTAAAGCGATCAGTTCACCTCATACATGTGTCTCAACCACTTACAAGTATCTCAAAATGCCTTGATGTTTGTCAATTATTTCTCAATAAGTCAGGAAAAGAAAAAAGAAATGAAGATTAAAAATAATTGCACAGGGTGGTGGCGATGCGCACCTTTGATCCCAGTACTTGGGAGGCAGAGGCGGATGGATCTCTTGAGTTCAAGGTCAGCCTGGTCTACAGAGTGAATTTCTGGACAGGGCTACACAGAAAAATCTGTCTCAAAAAAAAAAAAAAAGAAAGAAAAAACCAACCAACCAACCAAAAGAAATTGCAAGCTGGGCACATGATTCAACAGGCTTGCCTAACAGTCAGAAAGCCCTAGGTTGGTCTCTCACAAGAAAATAAAAGTGAAGTTACTACCCCTGGTAACCAAACACTTTCTAAAACATATTTGGAAGCTCATTTTCAAAAAATAAAATTGGTTGATTGCTAGGTGACCTGAGTTTGATCTGTCTGACCCACATGGTAGAAGGAGAGACCTCATTGCTGAAAGTTGTCTTCTGACCTCCACACGTGTGCTGTGACTGTACATACACACACACAAACACACACATACACACATACACACACATACACATACACACACATACACACACACACACACACACATGAAAGAGGGTGGCAGCTATGGACTAGCGGGAGGCTAATGCCTGAGAGTCTTCCAAGGCTGAGGGTCTTGTTGCTTGCCTCTTGAAAGGAGGAACCCAGGAGAGCGTCAGTGTGTTTATATATTCGTAGTTTTGCCCTGATACATGTTTGCCTGTATGTGCATGTGTGCCCGTGGAGACCAGAAGTCAACCTTGAGAATCATCCTTAGGTGGTGTCCACAATTTGTGAGTGGCATCTCCAATTGGCCTGAACTCACCAAGAAAGTTAGTTGACCAGTGAGCACCAGGAATCTCCCTGTGGCCATGATGCTGGCATTTTTTCCTTCCTCCCCTCCTTCCCTCCCCCCTTCCCTCCCCCCTTCCTCCCCACCCCGCCATTCTGGGATCAAACTCATCCTCATGTTTATAAGCCAAGCACTTTTACCGACAGCTACCTCCCCGGCTCCATGGATGCCTTTCAGTTTTATAATAATTAAAAGTTTTGAGATAGCCTCTTGCAATGTGTCCCAGGCTAACCTCCAACTCTTCACCCTTCCTTAGTCTCCAAACGGATGTGATTGCAGGTGTGTGTGTCTACACCTGACTACTGACTGCTCTTTTAAAAGGAGGGGCCTCAGCTGAGCCACAGGGGTGAAGGGCAAACAGCTAGACTCTGGATCATCTGGGGAGAACTTAGAGCTGGCGGGGCTGCTGCTGTACCCAGTCCTTGTCAGTCACCCCCTTAAATCAGGCTCGGGATTCCCCCGGAATGAGACCAGAGCTTACCGTTCTGAACTGGCGAGAAACTGCATCTCCGTGGGCACTGTTCCAAGTCCATTTCCCCGTACAGTAGCTGGGAGAAAAAAGCAGGCGCATTGGTGAATGCAGAGAGGACTAACGGGAAGTTTCCAATTCTTGTGCAGCCAGTCAGGAACAAGATTTCACTGCCAAGATGCTATTCACTGAAGAAAAAAATGAGGCAGGTCAAGACACAGCAAAGGGACTGGGGAGAAGGGGAGGGAGGAAAAGAAGGAAAAGGTAATAGAGGGGCGTGGGAGGGGGAGGTAAAGGTCATGACTCTGAATTCTACACTTCACACCCCCCATCGATGTTTGGGGATGGTGCCACTTCCAGGCTGACTGACAACCCCTAACACAAACCAAGGCTGGCCTGAGGGACCATTGCTAAAGGCTACCTGGGAAACATGAGCAATGTGGGGGATGGTGTTCATTCATTCATTCATTCATTCATTCATTCATTCATATCTGTTCAAACAAAACACAGTCACTGACCCTGTGCAGAACACAGAAGAAGGCCCCTGCTCCAGTGGACACTGCATTCTAGAATAGGAGACAGACAAGAATATAATAATGACAATTCCAGGTGGCGATGAACGTTATAGAGGAAATACAACCAGGCAAGGGAAAAGAAAGTGACTGTCATGTACAACTGTTGTCATGTCACTAGAGCTGATGACATTCCATTGAGCCTGCAGTATGACAGTGGCCAGTCCTACAAAGCTCCATAGCAAAAGGCCCCAGGAAATAGGAGCATCAAGTCAAAGGCCCTGTAGTAGGAGAAGCTGGTAGAGCGAGGAAGCCAGGCATGCTGGGACAGTGATGAGTTAGGAAGGGTTAAGAGGTATGGAAAGCCAGAGGTGACAGAAATGCTCTGTGGTGTTACATTCTGCAGGTAGAGGCTTGGATGGGCTTCGGGGAGGTGGCTATCCATGTTAAATAAGGGGATGGTGGCTGGGCCACACCGGTGATCATAGATAGAGACACTGAGGTTGGCCAAGCTGTGTTGAAATCAAGACCTCACCGCCACCGAGGATGAAGAACTACAACTCAAGGATGCGAATTTTATGAAATGGGCCAAGTACAAAATCTCTTTGTGTCTCTTGTGTATCCATCAATCACTGATGAGACAGGAGACCCATCACCAGTCCTGCCGTATACCAGTATACCAGTCCATACCAAGCATAGTATGTCACGTGGGTGGTGTCACAGGACACACAGCACAGGGAAAGAAGGAGACACTATCCTGAAGAGTCTGGCTGTCAGGAGCCTGGGTGGGAGGGAACATTGTCACCTCCGAGTGACATGCTGGGAGCTAAAGACAGGACAAGTGGTGACAATTGTAAGGATGAGGGAGAGTGGCTCTCAGAGGCCCTGGGAAGGAAAGTGTGTTGCTTCAAGGGAAGTCTGTGGGGCTGGAGGTGCTCTCCTCTCTCGCCCTCCTCCATGTCCCCCTTCCCCAAGGACACAGACAAATCCTGAACACGCACAACTGATCACAACCACCGATCACAACCAGTCACAACCGATCACAACCGATTGACATTTTTCTTTTTTTTAACATGGAGTTTATCAGGTCACACAGCCCGTGCACTGGGAGGAAGGGTCTGGACCCTTGTCTTGGCCTCTCTCAGTCTCCCTAACCCCCACAGCTTGGGGACACCCTTCCTTCCTCCAGGCTGCTGTTGTCTTGCTGGCACCAAAGGAGAACAAGACTTTACGGCGTCACTTCTGCTATGCCCTGGAGTGCCCCTCCCCTGTTGAGCACAGCAGGGGTCTCAGGTGAAAGGCCGGGTCCACTCCTCTTAGACTGCTGAACAGCTCGGGCAATGGGACACATGTCCACACGCAGAGCACGAGGCCAGGGCTCATGGCACTGAGGCAGGAAGAAAAAGGCTGTTAATAACACACAGATGGGGGTGGAAGGAGTCACTCCCCAGAGGATGACCTCTGACCCAGTGACCCCTGGCCCTCACCATTTCAAGCTTGCTCTGTATCTTTCCCACTGGGCCCCAGGTATCTGGGGCAGCATCAGACACTGGCAGAAGCTTGCCAGTACCTGGGGCAGAACTCCGCAGCCTCAGGGACTGACTGTCTTGGGTGTGAGTCCTACCAGGATGATTTGTAGGGTCTCTGTAGTGGGCGGGGCCTCAATAGTTTTGACAAGCTGGGCAGGAGATTCTTTTGTGTTGTCAGGATTGAGAGCAACATGTCTGAAATCACAGAAGGGAAACTGAGGCTTGCGGTGTCTTCTGGCCCTGGTGGTGGGAATGTGTACCTCAGCGGGTTTCATATGGAGCCAGGCTGCTCACTGCCTACACCAGAGTTGGGGAGCCCCATATGAGACTGTGTGTGGTTCTAGGAATAAGGGGCTCAGTGTGTGCACCTGTGGGTGGGGTTAGGGATTCATACTGGTGTTCAAGTGTCTATTGGGCACTAGTGATGATGATGATGATGGTGGTGGTGGTGGTGAAGATGACGGTGAAGTTGGGAAACAGGAAAACCAAGGTGTTCCTTGCTCCCAATTTACTCATGACTGTCCCACTGCATCCCTGTGACCCACTTGGTTTTAGAGACAGAATGGAAACAGGTATGTGGGGCAAAGTCTCTGGAGTGCCTTTGCTGGGTTCTGGAGCCACAGGTCAGCCCAGAAGGCGGTGCTTATGTAAGGGCTTCACAGACAACAAGCCTTGGGTGCACACTGCGTGGGAGGGGCTGGAATCTGTGTGCACGCCACCACACGGCCTCCAGCAACCACGAGTCAGTCATCCTCTGCATTTGGAAAATGAGGCCTGGAGAGGCAGGTCAAGGCTGGGGACAAGGGGATCCGGTGGGTGAGTGGCCGAGTCAGGCCTATGCAGTAACCAGGACTGACGATTTACCCAGAACTGCCAACCGCCACCGTAACTCTCACTATGTGTCCAGGGCACTCACTCAACACTTAGTAGGTCTGACACAGAACTAATAAATATCCCAACTTCTCTGTCCAGCCTCTTGAATTTGCCTCAGGAAAGAGCTAGCCTGTTGAGTTGGGCAGAGAGCACCCCATGGAGGGCCAGAAACCCCCACATTAGGCAGTTTAGTGAACACAATTCATTTAGCACATCCTGTAGCCTGATAGTATTGCTCTTTCCGTTGGATGAAGAGGGAAACAGAGGGTTAACACAGATGCTAACTGGTCTCTTCATTCGCTTACTCATTATCTATGTGCATTTATTGAGCACCTATTATGTGCCAGGTAGTGCTTTAAGACACAAGACCGCACCAGCAAATGTCATTTACATGATGAACAAGAGTGACCCAATCCTTTTTGAGCTTGGAGACACATGACAGACAGCGGGCAGACGATCCCATGAACCCTCTCCCAGGATGGGAGGGGAACAGGAAGACAGACAGAGAGGGCTTTGCTGTCTACCCTGCCAATGTATAGAATGTGCTTTGGTTGCTGATGTCTTTGAGTTCTGTGCGTGTGCAAGTTCGTATGTGTGCGCATGTCTAGAGTCTAGAAGTACCAACTTTGGGTGTCTATGTCATGCTCGACCTTAGGTTTTAGAGACAAAGTCTCTCCCTGAACCTGAAGCTCTAGCTGGCCTGTCCCTGAAACTCTGGGGACCCTGCTGTCTCTACCTCCTCAGGGACGGGAGCATAGGCCTGTGCCACTCGCCTGACTTTTCACCAGGGCGCTGTGGATCCACACTGAACCATCTCCCTAGCCTGGTGGTGTTTTGGGTTTTGTTTTTGAGACAGGATCTTGCCGTGTAGTCCTGGCTGCCTTTGCACACGACATTTTCCTTTCTCGGCCTTTTAAACGGTGGGATTACAGGAGGCAGGAGCCATCATAACTGCCGCATCAGACCCTCCCTCTGTCGCAGACTCCTGTTTCATCCATGCCACAGGCCATCCTGACTTGGAGATTAGAGATTAGAGAATCTCAGGAGGTAACTGGCTAGCAAAGACTGAAAGAGAGCGCCCATGACCTCAACCTGCATGATCGCTCTGACTACAACCATACGGGTGGCTTCTTCCCAGCAGAGGAAAGACAGAAGAGTTCAGGATCAAAGCTAGGCAAACCCCTTGCCGGTTGAGGGATTCCGGGGAGCATAGCCTTGAGTGAATCTCCTTGGCTGAAGCCTGGGTTAGAATAGCACTCCCTTGTTAGTAATGACAAAATGCCACAGAACCTTCCAGACAACAGTCACAAAATTGGAAGGAGAGGTGGCAGAGACTCCCTGCAAGGTGGAGGACCTCCTGGGGTCTTGTCCAGTGCTCCCATCAGTTCGTGTGCTCAGAGCTCTGTCTCTTGCTTACCGTACTCCTTTAGACAAAACATTTTGCTTTTGTGAGCCTCCATCTTCTCATCTATGAAATGGGCACCATAAACATCAAACAGGTTAATGAGAAATTGGGCCAAGCTGACTCTCAAGGTCTTTAGGAAAGGGAAGGTTTTGTTGGCACGGTTGTTGACCTGGTCATTGGTGACCCTTCTGAACTTGGAGCTTCTGACAAACTCCTTGTTCTAATCAGAAGTCACCAGCACAACCCCACACGTCCTACCTCGTGTCTAACGCACAGTAACAGTGGAAAGGGCCCTCTCTTTGGCCTGAAGTTAACATTTCCTGAGCCTCTGAGGCTGATCATTAACCTTCAGGCCTCTGATCCTGCAGCCTGAAGGCAGATGTCTGGCCTGGGCTCCAGGGTCTCCACCTCCCCACAGCCTGCAGAATAGGAAGAACGGCTTTAGGTTTCCATTCATAACCAGCTCTGTGTATGACCTCAGCCACATGCTCTCCTTTAAAGGTCTTAGAGGCTTTGTTTTTGTTATAAGGGACTGGACACTCCAACAGTCATGTGGCCACCTTGTGGGAGGCAGGAGAACGGGATGGAGGGAATACAACCCCAGAGTCAGCCAGCCCAACTCCAACACTTAGTGACACTGGTCATGTTGCCATGGTAACCCCTGGGGACTTCTCCCTCCTCTCCTTCTTTCTTCCTCAATTTCTATTTATCTAAATGATGCCGATGGGACCCCCGTCTCAGTCAGACACAGACCCCCAGAAGAGTCCTAAAATACAATAAGTACTCAGTGAGTTTGGTTCTTCTGCAGACACATCAGGAAAAACAGAAGATAACAGGTTCAGCTGAGGTTGAAAGGATGAAGGGGTAGCGTCAACTGTCTGATGCCACCCCAGGGTGACCATGAGGCAGTCCTCTCAGAACCCTACAATGTGGGAGGGAACAGTTTGAAGGCCAGGAAGACAGAATGCTAGGGTGAGCTCAGCAGCCCTTGCTTGTAGCCTGAGTCTGGTCCTCCTTGTCTGAGTTGACCTGTCAACTGAGAACAGCTCTTAAAATTTTGAAATAGTTCAAAATAGCCAGAGCTTGGGAAGTGGCTCAGTCAGCAAGGTGCTCATTGTACAAGCACAGGAAATCTCAGTTTCATCCCAAGTACCCAATAAAAGCCAAGTGCAGGAGCTGGAGAGATGGCTCAGTGGTTAGGAGCACTGGCTGCTCTCCTAGAGGACCTGGGTTCAGTTCTCAGAACCCACATGGCAGCTCACAACTGTCTGTAACTCCAGTTCCGTGGGATCCAACACACGTGCAGCATGGCAAAACATCAAGGCATGTAAAATAAAAATAAATAAATCATTTTAAAAAGCCAAGTGGAGTATGTGTCTGTATTTCCAGAGCTGGGGAGGAGGAGACAGCAGGGTCCTGGCTGGGACTGGCTGGCTAGCAGTCAGTGAGCTCCAGGTTCATTGAGAGACCTTGCTGCAAAAGGTATGTTACATGTTCACCTTCCCAAACATATACAAACACAGAAACACACAGGACCCACAGAAGACCATCTGGGGATGACACAGTTGTAGGAAACCTTACCTTTGGCTCCCATGTGCGATGTTTTCTTGGCATGTAGCCAGCCGTCGGCACCCTGCCACCTTCTTCAAAGGCAGAGTTGGGAAGTTGCGACAGAGTGGCCCACAATGTCTAAAATGTTTACTGTCTGGTTATTTACAAGGAACAACTGCCAACCCAACTACCTGGCAAATGTCCTTGATTACCTGGAAGACTGTGTCCTGTGACAATACCTCTCTGCTGTTTCATCAATGGTGACTTTCTAGATGTTTCACTCCATCTTTCCAAACCCATCTGTGAAGTACTCCTAAACCACTTTGAATTTCAGTGACATGTATGATGAGCATATACCCACACTTGCCAGACATGGGCACTCTGTAGATGGTGTATGGATCAATGTGCAATTTGTGTATACATGTGTATATATGCAATGTACATGTGTGTGTGGGCATGCATATGTGTCCATGTGTGTGCAGTATCCATGTGTGTGCATGTATGCTTGTATATGCAGTGTCCATGTGTGTGCATGTGTGCTTGTGTGCTTGTGTATATGTGTGCATGTGTGTGAAATATGCGTGTGTAAATGAGTGTACATGTATACATGTGTGTGCAGTATCCATGTGTGTGCATGTCCGTGCATGTGTACACGCCTGTGCATGTCTACATGTATGTGATATGTGCATGTGTACGCAGTATACATATGTGTGTAGGTTGAATGTGTATGCAGTGGACATGTATGTGCAGGTATACATGAGTGTGCATGCATATGCGTGTGTGCAGTGTTTATGTGTGTGCAAGTATACCATGTATATGCAGTATATTTCCATGTGCAGGTATACATGTGTGCATTTGTATGCAGTGGACATGCGGTGCATATGCACATGTATATCCAGATGTGTAAGCATACATGTGTGCAAGTATATGCAGCGTACATGTATGCATGCAGTATACATATGTATATGCAGGGATGCATGTGTATATCATGTATACATGTGTGTGCATGCATATATGTGTGCAATCATGTCTGTGCACGTGAAAGCCAGAAGTGAACCTCAGGCATTCTTCAGGAGTCATTCTTTTTTATTTTTTGGACATATGTAGTGACAACTGGCCTGGAACTCCTTATAGACACTAGGTTGAATTTGAACTCACAGAGATGAACTTGCCTCTGCCTTCAAGTGGCTTAAAAAATATAGGAAGTTATTTTCTTCAGGCATGATGAAATCAGGGGAAGGCATCATGGGGTCACTTTGGAGGCACAAGGACCTTGAGACTTATTATTGGCAACCCAGTGATTCACACACTCCCACCCCATAGTGACAAAGTGGCTGCCACATCACCTCTACTTTAAAATGTCCCACTTTTTATTGATGTCCGTATACATTTAAGAGAGGTCTAAAGCCATCCACGCATAGGCCAGGATTGCCATCTGATCTCTGGCATTCTTTCTGCCATGCTCACAGACCCTGCATAGCACATGCTGTGCTGAGAAGGGTGAGCTGAAGGCAGACACACTCTCTATTGCTCCCAAGAGAATTCTCACTGATGTAGCTCGCTTCTGGCCACACTGCCTGGGTTCAAAGTCAGGCCACCTTCTCTTGTGTGATCTAAGGCAGATGTAAGACTGTGTGGCTTACATCTGAGCCCCACACAGTCATGTGAACACGTCTGCTAAGAGCCCAGTGTCAGAGTGTAGAGAGGTCAGACCTCTCAGGTCAGTGCAATCTGCGACAGGAGCTCATCTTACATTAATAGCGCCCCTCATGCCAAGCCCTACTCTGAGACAGGATTTCTCTATGTAGCTCTGGATCACCTGAAACTCACTATGTAAACCAGGCTGGCCCTGAAACTCACTGAGATCAGCCCGCCTCTGCCTCCTGAGTGCTGGGATCATAGACACGCACCACGCTACTCTCGGCACCCCTCCTCTCATCGTGGAGAACACTGCAGCAACACCACAGACTCTCCTTGCTAGTCTGCTGTGGAGTTCTCTGAGAATTTGCATCAGGGAAAGACACTGCAAACATTCATGTAACTTGATTAAGTTCTTTCAAAATGCCCTTAAGAAGGGCTAGCCTGGACTAAGATCTCTCCAACAGTGCCTGAGAATTTGCCCAGCACCTGTTCCCACCTACACTGGGACTTGCCCATCTGATGCTTGCAGGCCTCACTGATTCCTGGGGTGCTTCTCTGGAGCTCGGCTCAAATGCTTTCAAAGTTAATTCCAGTACCTGCTTAACCCATTGCTTAGCATGCAATCAGTGTAAGGTTAAAAGGTCCAGGGACCCAAGGCTTGGTGGATCCAATTCCAATTAACTGTCATTGTTAAAACATTCACCCCACAGCACATGTCCAGCACATGCGTGTGCCCTTAACCTTCCCCAGTGGCCCGTGGGCCTCCGATGCCCCCCCCCAGCAGCAGTGTGGGCCCTGGCATCTGTCCAGACTCACCTGTGTTCTCATCACCTTCCCGGGGAAGGTCCTTCCGAGCTTCCCGAGCTTCGCGCTGGCCAAAGAGGCTCTTGAGGATGGCACTGGCGATGGGTAGCATCATTGCAGTGGAGGCTGTGTTACTCAGCCACATAGACAAGAATGATGTGGTCACCATCATCCCCAGGATGAGCCTGGGAGGCAGAGAGAGTTAGGGCTGGATCTAGAACTCAGGGTCCAAGGGAGTCTATGGTCTAGTACCTGGGGAGTCTATGCGTTGGTTTTACAGGAGAGCAGTTGGGGTCCAGAGAAGAGCCCAGTGTCAGAGGTTAGAGAGATCAGACCCCACAGGTCAGTGCAATCTGTGACAGGAGCTCTTCTGACATTGATAGCACCCTTCATGCCATGCCCCACTCCGAGACAGGAGTTCTCTATGTAGCTCTGGATCACCTGGAACTCACTATGTAGCAAACACAGAAGCAACTGCCTACGCTTGTCTTGTTTGATTCGGTGTGTGTGTGCAACGGGCTCCACCAGTTCTCTCCTTTCACCTCTGGGTGGATTGCAGGGCTCTAAGTCAGGTCACTGAGCTGGGGCAGCAAGTGCCTTTGCCCACTGAACCACCTGGCTGCCCCGGGCTTGTTTTAGATCCAATGACAACTTGGCATATTGCGCTTAAAGAACTCGACTGTTGAAGTCAGTCCAAGCCTGGCACTTCCCTGCCTTGCCCCCAGATCCTTAATGGCATCCATTCCAGAATGAAGCGACCTGGCACTAGAATCTGCCACCTTGCCCCTCCCCCTTCTGCTCCCACGCCTGCCGGCTCGTACTGCTCACAAGCCTGGGCTTCTTGCCAGCGCAAAGCCAACCTGGATGCCCCTTTCTATTCCAGCCTCTGTCTGGTCCACCCCCACCAGCACGGTCTAAGTGTCCTGGGGTTGCCATGTGGAGATCATTTAACTGCACAGTGTTAGGTAGGAGATAAATGGAGGCTTCACCATAGATTAAGCCCAGGACCCCAGCTCCTGTCAGGTTCCCTCTGACTACAATGGCTTCTGGATTCTTCATCCATTTCTGTCTCCTCTGAAACTTGTCTCTTCCTGGCTCTCTTGCTATATCTTCAGGGGGCATTTCTTGGCCTTTCGTTCCATTCTGCCCAGCTGAGCCCAGAGGCTCCCTTCTCCAGGAAGTCCTCCTCCCTCTCCTCTGGGACTTTATACTCAGGGTCCAAGTACACTTGGCATTAAACAAGTGTGTATCTGAGACTATCCTCAGGTCTTCAAATGGGGATGGATGGTTCGGTAGCATGAACAGTGGCCTGGGACAGTGTCACTGAAACACCTTGTCGGGAGCACTTTCCCATTACACTGTAAGACAGTGGTTCTCAACCCTCCTAAAGCTGTGACCCCTTAATACAGTTCCTCATGCTGTGGTGACCCCCCAACCGTAATAGTATTTCATGGCTACTCATAGCGGTAATTTTACTAGTGTTGTGAGTCACAATGCAAACATCTGCATTTTCTGACGGTCTTAGGCGGCCGTGAAAAGGTCATGTGACTCCCAAAGGAGTCAAGAGCCTCGGAACCTTGAGGTGTCAGGGACAATTAAACCTGACACCAAAGGATGGTTGTTGTTAGGTCTGCCATGGTAGCACACCACAGTGATGTGTTTGTAGAGGTTAGTGTGCGGTGCCCTGGTACACGTGTGTGCTAAAGGGATTATTTGGACAACTGTACTTTGTTGTCACTGGGGTTGTTTTTATTTCATCTATCTGTCTATTATCTATCTATCTATCTATCTATCTATCTATCTATCTATCTATCTATCTAT